TGAACTACTACCAGCGCGTGACGCGGGCCGTGCTGGGTGACGACCCCCAGCTGATGAAGGTGGGTGGGAGCAGGGGGAGTGGTGTGGGGCAGACCCCTCTGACCCCCAAGTCAGCCTGGTGGTGACTCGGAGCAGGGCGCCAGGAGCCTCCAAGTCACCCCCAACAGAGCCCTGGCAGCCCAGTGTCTGCTCTCCCGGTGGGGGGGAGCTTCCTTCCTAGCCAGCAAAGCCCCCAGGGCCAGGCACACAGAGCAGCAGGGCTCCCTCTCCCCCAAGGACGGAGAGCCCAGAGCTTGCCCAGGCATTTCCCCCAGCATTGCCAGGGCAGGAGTTTGCCCTGCTGTAAAGGCCTCCTGGTCTCCACTGCAGCAGGGGAGTGATTTCTGGGGCTGGGGTCAGGCTGGAGACCTGCCAGGGGCACCTGCCTGTGGTCCAAGCCCTTCCCGCCCCCTGCACCTGCAGGTCGCCCTCCAGGACCTCCAGACTAACTCCAAGATCGCGGCGCTGTTGCCCTACTTCGTCTACGTGGTCAGCGGGGTGAGTGGAGCTGCGGGCAGGGAGAGGGGGTTACCCTGCTCCGTTCCTATGGAGAAATTCTAGGGGTGGGGAGAGGTTTGGGGGTGGTGGGGCCATGTCCAGGTGTGGCAGGAAGGTTGGGGCGGGTCATGTCAGAGGTCAGGGCTTGGGGCTGATGGTAACCCCTGAGCCTGCTCTGTTCTTGCAGGGGAAGTCCTGGGGGTGGGGGTGGGTTTGCAGGGCTGGGGGACAGCGCATATCCAGGGGTGGCACAAAGGCTGGAGGTCAGGGCCTGGGCTGACAGCGACCCCCGACCCTGCTTTGTTCTTGCAGATGAAGTCTAGGGGTGGCAGCAGGCTTGCGGGATGGTGGAGCTGTGCCTGGGGGGGGGCAGGAATGTTTGGGGTGACCACGGGGATCAGGGTTCAGGGCTGTGGTGGTGACCCCTGACCCCACTCCATCCCTGCAGGTGAAGTGCTGAGGGTGGGGGCAGGTTTGGGAGACAGTGGAGCCATGTCCAGGGCTGGCAGGTAGGTCACGGGTCAGAGACCGGGGCCTGGGGCTGACCCCTGGCTCCACTGCAGGTGAAGTCGGTCAGCCATGACCTGGAGCAGCTGAGCCGGCTGCTGCACATCGCACGGAGCCTGATCCAGAACCCGTACGTGTGCCTGGGCTCCTACGCGCGCAGCCTCATTGCCAGCGTCACCTACTGCGTCCTGGAGCCGCTGGCC